ACAAGATACCGTTCAGGTTGTTGTTATATAGAGAGATCATCTCACGTTAGACCTCGAAGTTGATATTCCTTCAGGGTACCACCAACAAGGATACTTGGCTGAACAGTGACTTCCTCTTTGATGCGATGTGCAACCGCATAGTAGTCAACCTTTCGGCTCTCTTCCTCCTCGTCAGAGTCAACGATATCTTCCTCAGTATCCAACTGATCTTCATCTCCATAACGCTCAGCAGTCTTTCGTTGCTGAGAACGGACGGAGGCGGCAAGTTGCCGCAAGAAGCCATCGGTTTGTTTGAGCAGGTGGGAAATACGTGAATCTTTGGCCTGGCCAAGGAGCTTCATGTAGGTTTCCTCGTCGTTTGCCTTTAGAGCCTGAAGACGTTGCTTGGCAGTTCTTTCTACTCGCTTCTGTTCTTCACGCTCAAGGTGGGTGTGGTGGGCCATCATCAAACGGCCCAGCTTTTGTACACGTCCACGTTGCTCGTTACCAGCATTACGCACATCAGCACCATGATTAAGAATTGATTGCAGCTGGTTATACTGCTTCTGTTTTTCCTTCGTCTCACGGGCATCACGCTGCTGTTTCTCTAGCTTTTCGGTAACTCTTGCTTCGCGAAGAGACTGCTTCTTCATCCGGCGATGGGCAGGCCTATTGGCGGACATGGCAAGGTAGTCGAAGTGCATCATCTCGTTCTGGACCTGTCTACGGAAAGCACGTTGTTTGGGGAGCAAATTGAGCATCTTATACTCAATCAAGGCCTTGAGCTTCAGAGAGTCGTCAGCGACAGGAGCGTCGCTTTCACCACTGTCCCAGACACCGAGGTTTGCAGGAAGCCTGGCCAACTCGGCCTTTCGAGCATTGATGCGGTTATATAAGATCATTTCCCTATCTTCACGGATCTTCTCGATATCGACACCCATTGGCGTTAAGCAAGGCAGTCTCAATCGATTTCGGCGTATGGAATGATCGGTATAATTGATAGTCTCGCCGAGTATATCATAAGGGGACTTGAAGGTCTCAAACATGGTTCTAAGCTTCTCGGTAGTGACATCACCTTCGCCAGCTACATCGCGGGCGGCGTCTAGAGACTGATCAGGTGGTAAAATGCCATCTGCACCAGTAGGTTTCTTTGCAAAAAGTTGTTGTTGAACACGTTGGGGGATGGCCAAGTTCTTGGATATCATCTTAAAGGCAAGTATCTGATTTCTCAAAGTGGCCAGTTGTTCTGAAGTAAAACTTTGCGATCCCTGGGGAACGCCCTTCTGATTTGGAGGAGTGGCGCCGGAAGCGGTAGCATTGCCTGGAAACGAACCACCGTTAGCTATCGCGTTGCCATCTTGGCTCCCTGGAATAGCGAGATTTGCGCTGCCTGAGCCATTTCGGGCTGCAGTTATGATGAGCAGGTGAGATGATTGTGTCAGAAAGGGAGAAAAGAGAGAACAAGGGCGGTCTTACCATCTGTTCCATTGGCGTCAGCAAGTCCATTTAGTGGTGCCTGCAGAGGCTGAGGTGCCGGTGGTACTTGTGGCTGCTGCTGGGGCTGCTGCTGCTGCTGTCTCTGAGCATGGAGCATTTGCATTTGGCGTTGTTTCTGGTAAGCTTGTTGTCGTTGGACGGCAGAGAGCAAATTATGAGCTTTGAGATATTCTGGATCATCATGGCGCACACCTTGTTCCTGCATCTGCCGAAATTTCTTCAGCCCAGTCAGTATTTGATGTAATATTTATATGTGACCATAACAACATACCTGATAGACCTCCTGGACATGCTGGGGGGTGAGGTTTGGCGGCAAGCCGAGGCTCTGCTGCGGCATGTTGGCGGACTGCTGGACAGACGCCATGGTTGATACAACTATATCGAAGCGCCAAAGCACTGCATGAA